TCCTGCATCACATTGTTTCAGATATCAGATGAAAGGCTGCCTACTCAAGTCATATATCAACTATTAGTTTTTCTAAATATTTTTCTTGTGTTACAAATACTAATTAATAAAACCAACCAATTAAAGGTCAGTCTGAATTATAACTTTTGAATCTGTTTCGTGTCTTCATTGCGCGGTCTCTGATGAAAAAAAAAATTGAAGACAATCACCCTGAATCAACCATTAATCACTGAATTACTAGTAATTTTGGTTTTACTGAGTGTTAATAATGTCTAATAATAATCTCTTCTACTCAATCATGGCATACCACTGGTTTTCTACAGACTGGTGGAAGCAGCCCCTAAGTTAGACACCTGTTGGAATGAAGCCAGCATATTTCTTTGAGCCACCACTGGTTTACAGTTAGTAGGATTTTTATCACATCATGTATTCATTCAGCTGAAAGAGTCCACTTTATTAGTCTACTGGATTGCTTTAATCTATGCTATCTGTTTATATTGTGCAAATACTTCAAAAAATAGACAATTCAACTACCCAGTAAACAGCAAGAAAGGACATTTGGGTTTGAGTAGATCTGAATTGCCATCTTCTATGTCAACATAAGCATCCATGGTAAATTACATCTCAATTTCAATATCAAAATAAATGCCCTTTCATCTGGAGTATTTCTGATAAATTGTCAACTAAATGGGTGAGCAATTTTCTTGCACCTTTCACTGAAAAATTTTAATTTCACTCTCGATTACATTAAGCTCTGTCTTAGACTAACAAATTTTCTTTGACATAAAACTGTTGGATGCACATATTTAGTCATGATGTGCCTATATATGGTCATGATGTGATGTCATCATGACCATATTTAGGCATGTTTTTGTCGAATAAAATTTGATAGTTACATTAAATCACTCCAAATAGTATATAGGATTTTTTCTGCTTGATGGATTACACTTGTTAAATATGTCACTTTGCTATATAACTACGGTAGGTATTAGTTTAGTAGTACAGTATTTCTAAATTATTCATGAATAATCCATCATGAGCTTCATAAATATTCTGTTGGCATTAATAAAACTTCAGTTTCTTTTTTTCTTTCCTGCAAGGTGTTAATTCTTACTAAGTCCCTTAGAACTTGCATTACATGAAAGGCGATATTTTTTATACATCTTGCTTTGCAAACCTGCCAATAGTGATTATTTCAAATAAAAATATAATTTAATTTTTGGCCTTTGGCCAAAAAAGAAAAAAAATATTATTTAATATTTCCCTTTATTTTATCCCTGCTAACCACTACCATAACCTCCAAATAATTTTTTTTTGCTCAGTTTAAAATATAAGCATTTTATCAGTCCAATTACTGAAATGTTTACATAACCACACTGCATCTATTTATACAACACTATGATGGGATCTCTAGTAGGACTTGAGGGCACACTCAAACTTCTTACCTTTCGTTTTTTCATTTTTCTATTTGTCAACAGAAATTTTCTTTCTATATTTTCCTCTGCATTGGTGGTTTTAGTATAGATCAATTTTACTAAATAAGAAAATTAATCTATATTTTTCACCTAAAGATCAAAATAAAGTACACTAAAACAAGATACACTAAACAAGATATAAAAAAGTCTTCTTTAAGATTTCTAGTACAATAAAATTGGGTAAAGTCAACTATATCTTTATAAGATGAGCCTGCAAGGCAAAACATACCACATGGAATAGAAGAGAAAAAAAAAAAATTGGAATCAAATGGATGAAAAGAATCTAATGGAAACAATTAAAAAAAACGGAAAATAAAACAAAATTTAGCAAAAAGGATGTTATTGTCAATATTGCGAATTTTTTCATAATAAAACTTGTAATTAGTTAAACTATGGAGAACTTTTACGAGGTCATAAGACGGACAATCATGACGTAAATTGCGACAAAGCCTAAAGCAACAACAACACTTTTAACAATTCTCAAAAACCCAGATCTGTTGCAACCAATGCATTGTTGGTAATTAAATGACAACAGCACATTTCTTTTAATTAGCATTTACATAACAGCAAAGCCATTTGACAAAAAAAAAGTCAGAAAAATTTCTTTAAGGAGAAAATTAACAGAATGTAATTCCATTCACAGGGGTGATTTATCTGAACAAACCACATTAAATAGAGACTAATACACCTCTATAAAAACGGGTTTCTCCAGCATTATGTGAGATTAATTCAAAGCTTTCTAAATTAAGTTATTTCACACAGAGCTTGACGCGTGATGATACTGTATACGTTCTTGTCACAGGGGTAAGAAACTCTGAGCACTTGAGGGGCCTTGATAAAACTCCAGGCACTTAAGTAGCCACAAAGTATACAAAATTAAGGTAAAAATATCCTTAAATCAAATAATTATATTATACATGGGTGTAGTCTAGATAATGAAAGAAAATTAATATATAAAATTAAAACTAGAACCTAGAAATATATAATTTATATTTTTATATAAGTTTTTCAAGGCATGCACTAGGAAACACATGATCACACTTAATGTTCAAATTTAAATTAGTTTAGCACAGTGTTCCTAAGACTCAAATTTACTTTGTTAGTTTTAACTGACAATGACATCTTTCAAAATTAATTTGTTTCTCTTTATTTTGAACATTTATCTCTAATTTACAAACCTTGTGAATGATCATGTAATCTTTAATTTAACAGTATTTTTGAGGCTTAAATAAAATGAGCTATGTTAGTTTTACTTACATCTAAAAAATTGTTTCTCTTTATGTTTTTTTTATATTATTAGGCTTAACGTTTTATAGCTTGTAATTTTTTTAAATGTACCCCTAATCTTCTGTTAAATATATTTAAATTTTAGATTTAAATTGGTATATTAGAAAATGTTATTTATAATTGTTACTATTACTAATGAATATCCACCTCCAAATATATACAATAATTTAATAAACCAGTATTAACAATATTAAAAAGGTCAAAGGTACAATATTTTAATAAATTTTCCTCCTTAATTTTCGTATAGTGTAGCAACCTAATTGTAAAAGATTACCATTTTTTCAGTGTGGTTTATTTAGTGTAATATGAGTTTATGGGCATTAGAATAGGATACAGTAAACATTATTTATACATTTTGCAAACTGTAGGTTTAAATAAATTCTTTCATACCACTAATATTTTTTCTACCTATATAATTTATTTAGTTTGAAACAAGTATGGAGGCCTCTGGTCTGGTAAACATAATACTTAATGTCAAAACAATACTAATGTCAAAGTGTCTGTTAAATGCTCAATTATTATTTGGAAATTCTATATGAACACATTATTACTGTAGTTAGAAATATTATATAACAAAACAGTTTAATTTATATCAAAATATAAAGTAAACCTTAAGTAGTATGAAAAAAGCTAAATGGATAAAAATACATATTCTGAAATCTGGTATAAAAATATGGGTAAACTCGTAAAATTATTATTAACCTCATCCATGGCCTCCAACTCCATCAAATTTTTTCTAGCCCATTTTTTGTACATTCATAAATTTGTATAAAGTTATCTACCATTTCAAGAAGACTTTAATGCGGAATCAAAAGTAATTGCTTTAATTTATAATGCACTCTTAAATTCAAATTAGATAAACATATGGACAATATATTTTTAGTAATTTTTGTTATTCTAATATTAAATTAATACAGTATTTATATACTTTTATATTACTGTACTACGACTTGCGCTTATTTTTAGTGCGATTCTTCATTAGTCATAGAGTATAAAACAAACTAATAAGAAAGTGACGCAAGCAATTGTAATTCAATATTTAAAACTATATTTGTTCATCTATTTTTATGCTTTTTTACAGGTTTGCGGTTTAGAGAGAATTCACTTAGGTGTCAGGCTTACAGCCCACTATTCTCTCTATACATGTCGCTATGACCTGTCTATTTTCTTCACTTCACTGTAATATAATTTACTTCATTGTAATTGTTGTTATTTTTTTTGCATTTTGTTGTTGAAGTGTCAAAGTTAATAAATAATTTAAAGAAAAACTGATACATTGAACTTCGATCAATTTCTTTGGAGCTTGCTTTATGTTCTCTTTATATATCAGTGGGCACATGTTATGTTTTATATTTTGAAGAAACTTAATAAATAATTTATTTTGAGCAAAATAATTTGAAAATTTAACAATGGCCAGGCTATAACTAGTGGTGGCAGGGGCAGGGGCTTAAGCCCCCACTGGACAGGTTAAGCTCCTCCGTCGGACAGAGCTCATCGTGCAGTCAGACCATAAAAAATATATAAGTAGGCCCACACTAAGCCAACACATGGTCTGTCACAGTCTGAGAGTGCCATTTCCGACCGTCCAGAGGTTCCTTAATCTCATTTGGGAGGAAGAACCCTTCTCAAACCCTTCTTCTAGCTCGGGTCTACAAGTCAAGTCCCCCTGTCAGAGAGCTTGGCCACCCCACCCAGAAAATATATCCTATTGCTGCCACTGGCTACAACATAATGGAGTGACTGATCAAATGTAATTTCTCACTGTATAATTCTATGGACAACTTTTAAATATGTGAACATGTGCACTAATATTAGCCAACCATTTCAGTTTCCATTAATGTTTATAAATAATTATATTTAATGACTAATTATATTTCTAATACAGATTATAAATAAGAAAATACTGTTGTTTAAAATAGTTTATATTCTATATAAAGAAGAGAACAAAAGTAATCTTCAAGAATTTCATCAGGCTACAATATATAAATAGATAATATAATTTATGTATAAAATTGATGTGTAATTATTTATTGGTTGTATAATTATTTAGGAAAGTACAACTGGAGAAAAAATATAATAAAACAGATCAAATTTTCCGGCAGATGTAAAAGCAAAAGCAGCGAGGAAGATGAACAGGTAATAAAATATTAACTCATAAATCATTCATGCTAACTAATGACTCTCATAAACGCCATGAAATTTTGCAAGTTCATGAAAAAAAAATGATGTAAACTATACCTTTCACATCCGGAGATGAGGCCACTGTGGGAATCGCATTCACCTTCGTATTAGTTGTCTCCTTTGCTGATGAGTTAAATCTGTCTGAGCCAGAGACAAGCGGTTCACCCTTGTCTGTGTAATTCCTTCGCTTAGACACCGAATGCGTTACAAGTCCTTTAGATTGTGCCCACTGTTGAATGTTAAAGACACGGCGGTACATTAGCATAGGAATGAAAACCTGTTTATACTACGTCAAGATATCTGAAACTGAAAGAGAAATGTTCCACGCTCCCCCTCTGCAGAATTCTTGGACTGCTTGAGGAGGAAATACCAAACTTGTCTTAAATTCAGAAATCAATATTGTAGGACACAATTCATCCTCCAATAATTACGAATGAACGTTTGTTTAATTTTTTATCAATAGGAAAAGCATCATTAATGAAGTTTGCATAAATATATCCTCTATAATTAGACTGGGGAGGAATTAGCGCAATCAACCTAATTCTATTGATTAATTTCTTTTTAGGTAGACAAGAAAACGAAGTCAAAGTCAAGAGGAAATCGTCACAGAATAATTTTGCAGCTTATCAAAAAATATTGACAAGCTTTATAAATGCAACTCCAATGTCATTCAATGCATTGATATGACTCAGTGCTTTCTGTTTGAACTGATAGTACGTCGGTAACTGCTACGGTAAAAATACACTGTGTCCGTTGTAAACAGGATAAGACGTAGAGAGAAAATCAGTTATAACCGCCAGTAAATTGGTGAATTATGATTGGATGTTATAGTTTAATTATCTGGAAATTATTGGCACCTACAATGAATTGTGCTTATATGTAAGCAGCAGTTAAAGCCCGTTAAATTTAGTAACAAGCATGTATTTGTTACCAACAACTTGTAACGTATTATCAGTAACTTTTATTTAATATAATTAAGTTATTGTTATTATTACTGTACTATAATTTGTAGATTGAAAATATACTTTTCATTCCTCATTCTCTATTTTTAATACGGTATTATCATCAATAAATATAATTTTAAAAATATTTTTACTATTGTAGTACTATTTGTAAAATAAAATCTACAAATTTTTATCTAGCATATCAAAATAAATTAGTAATATGATTATCAATATTATTAATATTTTTATATTGTTATTGTCACTACTACTACTATTGAATATTCGGTATTCATTTAGGGTGAAACAAGAAGTAGGATAAGATTACATCCATCAAAAGGTGATGGACCTTTGAACTCTCAAATAAGCCCTAACCCTTGGATATTATTGCTAAGACCCCACAAACAGTCCTACATATGCAAACATGCGAGTTTGTAGGACACATACGAGCACATGTATTCCTGGCTCTGTTTTGATTGGTTTAATTGTTTGACATACAGGAAAGGGCCATTTTAAATCACCACAATTCTTGGATCCCCGCAAGGCGCTGACCCCAGAGGCTCACTGTTGTTCTTGTTCTTGTTACCAAAACTTTAAAAGCGTCCAGTGTCGCCAGTTTTGAATGAACATGCAGGAAATTTTGTACACATAAACTAGAAGTGATTTCCAACAAACCTTCATCACCATTTTTTAAGTTGGACCCGAGAGTTCCCCCTACACCTACAAAACAAAACAGGGGTTTCAACAAAGACTGTACATTACTGCCATTACCACTAATAGGGCACATCGCATGGATGGCGCGGTTGGTTAAGGATGTGTTCTAAAAAACTTAAGGTTGTGAGTACAAATCGCATCTTGGTATTCAATTTTTTTTCCCCCAATTTTAAGAAATTTCAATTTTCAATTTTTAAAATATTTTAATTTTGTACAAATGAACATTCGAAATAATAGTTTTTTGTACAAGTAAACATTCTAATTATTAAAAAATTTCTATCTTATTAGCTCTTCCAAAAACCCAATATAATAATTTGCACCTGCACCGTATTTAAGCATGGAGAAACGAGCGGACTGGTGAGCAGTCGCTCTTGTTTTTTGGTACAAAGACAGGTATAATAATAAGATCCCTAAAAAACAAAAAGGTGATTTTTATATCACTCTAAAGGGGTTTTTTTGGTACAAAGGAAGACAGTAGTACAGTATTTAGACATTACAATGTACAGTTGTTTTCTGGAAGAGCTGACAAAGTCATTACTCTATTAATACTGTTTGTCACAATCTCAAACACCTTGCTTATTGCAGAAGAAATTGGTCTAAAATAGTGGAGAGCCTTAAGCCAACAAAAGGCAGAAATTTATAATGATGATGATGGTGAAGAGGATAATGAGGACAAAGAATCTCACATCATAAATACAGTATATAACAAAGCTAGTTAAAATGAAAACAAGATATAAGACATCTCAATTAACATATAAGACACAGAAATACAATGTCTCTTGATGCAAATAGCTCTGTTCTGTTGCAAGTTATTGAAAAATATTACATTATGTGCTATTGTGCCTGTGTTGTACTGCTTAATGTGATCACCACTACAAGTTATGTTTCATGAAAATAAACCTGATATTTTCACACAGTAGAAAAAACAATAAATGTTAATGGGTACTACTGCATATGCCAAAATGTAGCTAATAAAAGTTCTGTAAATATCAACAAACATTTATGTTCCTATAATGTTTACACAGTGCATTATGTGCTACAGTATATGTATTTCTTTTTATGTAATGTGCTACAAATATGCTACAAATATATTATGACTAAATGCTACATGTTTGCTATGTTAGTTTGTATTAAAAATGTACTATAATAGCAGAATGAAGTGAAGGATATTTCAAATATTCCTACAGTGATATTGAGAATAAATAAAATAGTGACAATATGATATGCTTGCTACAAATATTTTTTTTATATAATTGGCACAAATGTGAGTAGTGCATAAATGACAAATTGTGATAATATACACTCTTGCACCACTGGCAATGATAAAATCATTTTTGAATCTACAAGTATAACATTTTGCATGATTAGAGCTTTCAGATAATTCTATATATCTTTATATTTACCTTCTGTAAATGTTTTGGTAACCCTGGCTGTTAATAAAGCACATAACATATTACCAAAAAATGTTTGAAAAAAGACCATGTAGAGAGTGCTGCTATCTATCAATATTGGCTAATGGGACATCTCAAATGTTAAATGTTCAAATGGAATTACTCTATTCCGAGTTTTCTTTGTTATTTACAGTAATCATATTGTAATGCTGGTATCAGCAACATTTACATATATTTGTTATTGTGTAGAAGGAACTAAATTTGATTTATAATGAGAAAAATTCCTTATGGAACACCTGATAACAAATATTTTGTATAGTATATTTGTGGGTATGTGATTAAAAATAACAATATCTGAATATGTGATAATAATCTAATTGAACTGAAATTAAGTATAATCTGAATAAGTGTAAACATAAACATAAACAAAAGGAACATGAACATAATAAACACAAATATAAACTAAATAAACATTTAGCTTTGTTATTGTATAGCATAATGATAAACGTAATTCTAGGATTAAGACATGGAAATGCCATACTCACTGCATTGTTCCGTGGCTTCCAGGATCTTGTGTGCCGGGTTAGTTTACCCTGAGTGAACAAATCTCTAGTATCCTGCAAAAGAGCATATTACACTGTTATTAGTTACTTTTGTGGGCAATAAACACATGTGTGGGTTTATAAAGTGGGTTTTGAGGTGATGGCTATGTTGCCCATAGAGAGTTAAGCCTTGCAATCCACCTCCACTTTGCGATTGATTAACCAGTGTCTGCTGATTATCAGTAGCAGTCTACGTGAAATGTTTTTAAAATCAGCCAATCGCACATGCACACTATTACGTTAGTGTCCATGTAACCGCACCGAAATCGCACCAGCGACCCTCAGCAAATGCAGTTGGTCAATACCATTAACATCAATTAAAATATGTACTGTCATGTCACTAGTTTGAAAATCATATTAATGTGGACAAAAAAAATCATGTTAGCATGTACTGTAGCTCAAAATAAATTATGTTGTCAAGATGTGAGAGACACATTAATAATAATAATTATTATTATTTTTATTATTATTTTATTTATTTATTATTATCGGTATCATAATAATAATGTATTATAATAACAATAATAATAATAATATTATTATTATTATTATTATTATTATTATTATTATTATTATTATTATTATTATTGTTATATTATTATTATTATTATGCTTTTGCAATTATCATTGTTTCTCTAGTAGGCATCTTGTACAGGGACATGTTCCCTTTTTTGATTACCAGACTCATTACATTTTGAGCGAAATAAAATTATGAATTATGAATTACATTAATGCGAATATTGACAAAATATAAAAAGTACTAAAATGAATGACAATACTAAATAAGCTGCCTAAACATTATGTTAAAATTATATATTGTTACTATTAGATTATAACCCAAGGGATGAGGAGGCTCATATGGTAATTTGCATGGACATGCATTGCTCTGCGATGTACAGTTCTATAATTTTTGAGAGGTGTTTTAATTATAGGAGCAATAGTAATAGTTGGTTTATTCTACAGTAGAGGCATTCACTAATGACATGACTATATATACTGTATGACAAAAATAATCTGACTAAACATCTATCAAAGATTATTAATCATTGTTATCATTATTGCTATATTAGATTACAATTCAATTATTAGCAATATCAACAGCACCATCTATTTTTCATTGGCAGTGATTGACAATTAGCTAAATACATGATTTATCTCAGTGTCAGTAGAGATCTCTCGGTCTGATAGCTAACTGTACCGTATGTCTGAGAGGTTAAATGTCATAAAAAATGAAAGGAATTTTTATGAATATGATTTTATGAATATGATTCAGGACTACGATGGAGGACAGGAGCAAGTTTCCGACTTTTTTGTGACTTCACACACATAAGCAACACACATAAATGATCACAATTATATTGACAATGACATTAATTATTTTGCTTTTACTGATGGTTCTACAATACAACTCGGTAATTGGCTTTAATATTTATACTAACAGAGAAAAAAAATTCACATTCCACTCAGTTGCTTTTCACATGTGAGGTTATCAACTGCTATAGTAGTATGCTTTAAAATGTGATACAGTCATTGGTCCAACATGTAAAATACAATGTAGAAATTCAATTTCCATTGACGTACACAAAATAACAAAATATTCACAAATGAAACCCACCATGAAAATGTCATAAAATTGATAACTTGCATACTGTAGAAGACAGTCCTTATTTTCTCGCAAAAATACTACCTCATGTAGATTTGACAAAAGATACACTACAATATTGGTGTGAGGCTGAGTAAAAATTTGGGAGATAATAATGCTGGATTATTGTCGTCAGTTTGTTGCACCATTATTTCATGGCTATTGTTACGGACCTTTCTAGAGTGTCAATGAAACTAACCAATCACAACACTGATAGGTATAAGCGCGTGTCCAACAAATACACGTGTTGTCCCACAAACGGATATGTTTAAGTACATTTACGCTTGTTTAGTGCGACCCTTGACAATATCCAAAAGATGGGCCTTAGCGGAAAGGTTCATTATGCATGAGACTACTGATGAGAATATCAATGAAATGTTCAGCAATTGCATGCACCATTATGCGCCATAGCTGATGCGAGATTATGTAAAAATATGTTTATACAGATGAATCTTCAACTATAATGCATTTAGCCATAGCATCATCATTTATGGTTGCTGTGAGATCATGAAATGTGAGAGTATATGAGATTATTGAAGAGAATAGCAATAAATGAACCTTAACTAATACCCACAGTCACTGCATCATCATTTCATTGCTGAATGTATGATCATCTCACAGGAGATAAGAGTAGAAATATAAAAACTTTTAACTGTAATCCCTTCAGCCACTGCATCATCATTTCATTGCTGAATGTATGATCATCTCATGTGAGATGAAAGTGGAAATATAAGAACTTTTACCTATAATGCCTTCAGCAACTGCATCATTATTTAATGGCTGAATGTATGATCATCTTACATGAGATGAAAGTAGAAATATGAGAACTTTTACCTGCAATGCCTTCAGCCACTGCATCATTATTTCATGGCTTTCTGCTGTCAGTATATGCTCCTTGCCTCCTGTCCTATAATACATGAATATTTAATTAGATAAAAGAGATGTAATTTTAAAGGCTGAAAAAGCAAACCTAATCTATTGTACAAATGATGAAACAGGTAATTTATTAATATCATTTCATATCAGTTGTGAAATTCATTAGTCATTGAATACAATAAGGAAAATATGAATATTCTTTTGGATTTACATAATTGTAAATATATTTGTTAACACCTGCAAAAATATAAACTTTTAATTCTCTGAGTTAATATTTTATTGTTATATTACTCATTTATGTTTGTAAGTGTAAAATATTTTTGCAAAGTATAGCCAAAAATATCATGATTTCAGCATCATCATTACATTGTAGTTTTCCTCACACGCAATTTAATCTTATCTTTGTCACCATCATCCTAATCAATCCCTAACACGGCATAATTATGAGCAATATTAATTAATTGCATCATATTACCAAATTCTTTCGCTATCAAACAAAACAAACAGAAGCACAAAAAATTTAGCCATGTAATTTCTACGAAATCCAATTACTGCTCCAAAATCCCTTAGTCATGCGTGTAAAAAGATGTCACGGATATTATGGATTTAGCATGAGAAATTTTTCCCCCACCCCCTTCAGTCTTGGTAAAAGAACCCGTCCCCACGGAACATACAATTTGCATAATTGTATTCGTACAAGTAGATTCAATATATTACAAAACCGAGTCAATGCATGTTTTTTTAAATCATATAACATAATGTAGAGTGTGCCAAGAACCTGTCACTTATTTAGTACACGAATGTGTAGAGGATGGGGGACCTTTAATAACGCAATTACTTCGAGCAAATCTGATCCATGTTATTAGAGGTTATGTCATACTGTAGATGGCAGTATGGCATTTTGAGCTAGTGTGTTGCATACACTGCAGGGGGTTCCAACAAATAAACAACAATAAACAATAATAACAAGAAACACTTCCACTGCAAAAAAAAAATTAAACAATTTCAATATCTTATATTTGTTTAAACCATATTTATAGAGGGTGACCCTTCCAACGCATCCTAGATCGGCTGATATTCAGAAGCCCTATTAAATAAATGAAATAATGTGATGCTTTTATCAGCTAAGTCTCTTTATGAGGCTTGGTGTGGTGTTGGTTTTAGTTTGCTATCATAGGAATTGAACCCAATACACTCAGATTAGTAGGCAAGCATATTAACCACTGAGCTATTCAAATGGAACTACTGTATTATAAATATTTAATTAAGTTATTTGTTTTAAGAAGTGAATACAGGGGCAAAAAATATACCATGAGGAATTTATCCTTTGTAGCAGTAAATATTTAATCCAATGCGAATGTGGCTAGTATTGCACAACTTTAAGAATGATGAACAAAATGTGTAGCTTCATTATTCTGCTGTAGAACAATATAAAAGAAATGACAGTCAGCACTTTTAAGACTAACTTACATATAAAACTTAATCTCAGAGATTAAATATTATACAAGTTATAGTCTTAAAAGTGCTGCTGTCATTTCTTTCATATAAGGATTAAAGTCAAGGGTTTAGCCAGAAAAACAAAATAGGCCGTCCAAAATGGAAGCCAGTGGGTGTGGCAGGAAAACTTATCCTTATTTAATTCGAATGCGAACATGACTAGTTTAAGGTCACAATTACATAAAATTCCAGCATTTTGCAACAATAAATAGCAATTGGAAGAATTTAATCTAGTCTTTAGTTGAATTAGTATACTGTAAATGGTTCTTCAATTCTTTTTCCTGTCATTAAGTTTACAGTATATTGAAGAACTATTTATAGTATATTGTTTAAAGGTTTGCATGGCGAAGTATAATATATAATTAATGCTTGCGGTACACCACGTATATAGTTCTGAAAAGAACTGTTGTTGTTGGTTGAGAACGTTTCTCAACGTTTCGGTTGACTTGCTTCAACCGTCTTCAGGATATTATTCTCCTGAAGACGGTTGAAGCAAGTCAACCGAAACGTCAAGATATTCTCAACCAACAACAACAGTTCTTTTCAGAACTATCTACGTGGTGTACCGCAAGCATTAATTATATATTTACAGTATGCTATTAAATACCACTCCCAGCGTCAAAACCTGTGTCATGGGAAGCAATAAACACTACTCACAATACAATATCTTAGTAGTAGAATAATGTAAAAATGTTTTCCCATAAATAGAGGCTAAGGGTACTGACCTAGCTAGCTAAAACACATCATTAAGATTAAGCATACCTAATTAGATAGTTCCAATTATACTTTATTTAATTACCTAGTTGCAATAAAATTCATAGATAGGGGGGACACAAGTAATTATAGTAAGCCAATGTGTTTAAATAATTAACAATCTGTCTGAGAAGGAAATGATGTCTAGGAAAGAGATGATAGTGAAAAAGTAAGTACAAAGGAACAATAAAATTTGCAATAGGCAATTTCAAAAATTAGAGTTTCGTCACTGTTTATTTCCTTTTTTTGTGATTATTTTGTTATTAAGTTGAAAAAAATTAGGTGGAAAACATTTCATTTTATATATTCGATACTTAAAAAATCACAAAGACTGTTTGTAATGATTAAAATGATTGCTTGATTGATTGGTAGATAGATAAAAAGATAAATGAACATACTGATAGATGGATGGATGCATTGATATATGGATGGATGGATGGACGGAGTGACAGATAGATGGATGGATGGACTGATAGATGGATAGATGGCCTGACAGATAGACAGATGGATGGATGCACTGACAGAAATATGCACTGATAGATGGATGGACTGAAAGATGGATGGATGGATGGATGAATGGATGGATGAATGGATGGATGCACTGATAGATGGATAGATGGATGGATAGATGGATAGATGGACTGATAAATAGATGGATGGATGAATGGACTGATAGATAGATAGATGGATGGACGGACTGATAGACGGATGTATGGACTAATAGATGGATGGACAGATGGATGGATGCACTAATAGTTGGATGGACTGATACTGTAGATGGATGGAATGATAGATGGATGAATGAATGGACTGATACATGGATGGATGGATGGACTGATGGATGGATAGATGGATGGATGGATACAGTGATAGATGGATGGATGGATAGATAGATGGATGGAATGATAGGTAGTTAGATAGGACTTGTATTTCATGTATTTGTGGTGTTTTTAATCACGATCATATGGTAAAACAATATGAAATTATTGAATAAGTTTTCCCGAATAAATAAAGTGACTGCACTAATAGATGAATGGACTGATAGATAGATGGATGGATGGATGGACTGCTAGATGGATGGATAGATGGACTGATAGACAGATGGATGGATGCAGTGATAGATGGATGGATGGATAGATAGATGGACGGATGGAATGATAGGTAGTTAGATAGGACTTGTATTTCATGTATTTGTGGTGTTTTTAATCACGATCATATGGTAGAACAATATGAAATTATTGAATAAGTTTTCCCGAATAAATAAAGTGACTGCACTGATAGATGAATGGACTGATAGATGAATGGATGGATGCACTGATAGATGGATGGATGGACTGATAGATGGATGGATAGATGGACTGATAGATAGATGGATGGATGGATGCACCGATAGATGGGTGGACTGATGGATGGATGAACTGATAGATGGATGAATGCATGGACTGATAGATAGATGGATAGATGAATAGATGGATAGATAGATGGATGGATGAATGGAACAATAGAGAGATGGATGGTTGGTTGGATGGACAGATTATGGATGGATGAACAGATTGATGATAGATGGATGGACAGATGGACGATAGATAGATGGACAGCTGCAAATATAGATAGATAAAAAAGGTTGAAAATTAAAAATGTATAACCTGGTTTGATACTGTACAAATAATTTTATAAATCCAATTTTAAATCATGTGTTTATCATTTAACACAATGTTTAAAGCATGGATATACAAATATGGTTAAAGTAGAATGTGATGCTACACAGTAGGCTCTGTATCTATCTGGTTTATACACATTAATGCTTATATAGCCTTCCTAACAGGATGTATGACTGTTTACATTATATAATCTCACTGGAAATATAAATCAACTTCTAATCATACCATACTTCAATATAGTATTTTTTAATTTGAACTTCAGAATATTTTTACAAATGGTGAGAAACTTGATTATCAATGTTCATATGAAAAACCTCTAAAAACATGATATTAAATTTCTTCAGAGGATAAAGGTCGTCATGGCATATTCCTTTCAAAAATCCTTCTTGTCAGGAAGTTTAGAATGAAGGTAAATGTGTATGGAACCATTTTGTGTAGAAATCCACTTTGATGGGAAGCTCCGTCTTGGGACATGTGACACACACACGATTGTGAGTCCCTGAGCTTAGCAGGAAATGAGAAGGCTATTACTCAGTGAGTTATCATTTTCAGTGGCAGATAAGCCAGCCAGGCAGCGCTGCCAAAGATACGTGATGACTAAAACAATGCTTGTAGTAAACCTTCACTCACTGAAAACAAACGCCAACAACTAGATTTAGAAGATTTCTAATCTTACGTTCATTCTCCCCAAAGAATTCAAACATCTTCCTCGGCTGTGTTAATCTAATATTTAAATTTACTGATTTAACTGAACATTGAACTAAAGAACGTATTAATAATATCATTTGACAATAGCCATTGATAAACTGTCAAATTTTGAGTACCCTATAATCTACCACAAAAAGTTAAAAATAGGCTACTGTGGTTGATTTTATTTTACAAAGTAATAATATTTTTTAAAATTTTGCAATAGAGATAGAAACATTTCTATTTCAATATTATAATAATATAATAAATAAGATTTATATTAAACACTTTTTTTTGTTTTTGCAATGTTTTTTATCTTTTTAATTTGTCCTCGTGTTGATAATTTTATAACAAATTCAGTTTCTACTGCTATGTTTTTAAAATTTGTTAACAGGAATAAATATAGCACTTTAATAATTATACCATTTATATATCCATATCAAGGAAATGCTCAAAACAATTGAGAAAATAAATAGCGGAAAAGGAAAAATTCATAAAACTAAAACCAGTAAGTATCCTAAAAACTATCCAGAAGCAGGGGAACCAACGTATTAAACTTATTTAAAAAAATTTTAGCCTCCAAAATAATGTAAACTTTTCAATTTATTTTTGAATATTTCTGTGTCTATATTATTTTTGAAAAAAATTATACTTTTCCAACAATATTTATATCATCTCAATTATTATATCACCTTTGTACTACTTAGATATTTCAAGCCAGATACTCTACAACAAATATAAAACATTTGATTTGAAGACTAAACTAAAAATACAGCAGTTGCAAAAAATTAATAGTACTGAAAAATTTTAAGGCAGAAACTTACGAAATGAGGAACTGATTGGTGTGTTCAAGAAGCAGTGAGATGCACGCATCTTTGATGTCCACGGCAGCTATTGGGTTTGACTGCTCGCTACTTGACTTATGAAAGACCAGATGGCACTTCAGGGGGTCTACCACAAACCAAAAACGCTTTTTTTTTAGTCGTCCTAAAGCTGAAATGACAGAGAAAGTAGTCCTGAATATAATAATTGAAATACTTTATTGAATATAATGCATGATATTATCCAGAAAATCCAAATGGCTATATCTGACCGGTTTGTTTCATTGACAAAGATTTTTTGTTGAGTATTACTTTCATCTGGTTGGTTCGTAAAATATATTTCATTGACAAAGGAAATTAACGTAAACCAGAGTGCATTAATTTGCAATAAGTTATCCATGTGGCAAACAAATATTACCTATTGTTCAGTTTAGCAACAATATTTGCGTTAATATAATTTAGATTCAATTTCAAAAAATATTAATTATAATCTTTACCTACATAAAGTAAAAAAATAATTGTAGACTAAGAGAATTCAAAAACTTCATGAAAACATTTGTTTACGAAAAAACCATACTGAGACAAGCCGAAGCAAAGTTGATTATGCTAGCGCGCATCAAGGTAATTACGCAGCCATTTTGTTTTGTCAAGTATTTACCAGTTTTCTATTTGTCTGGCTGCCTTCGTTAAGTAGGATTTTAACACTGCACAGGCAGGTGTGGTTTAACGAAGTACGACTGGTTGCATACGGTCACTTACAAAAAAAAAGTACTGTACACTTTATTTCCTTATTCAAAGGGTCTCAATTTATCAACTTACTATCATACAGTACTGTTTATGGGGTGGCCCAGTGGCATTTCTGCAGTGATTAAGTTAACATTAGTTGGATATATTTTGTTCTGATTTGTTTAAATGCTTTTGTTATTTAGACCAAATAAACAATAAAATTATCTTTTCAGTGAGGCAAAGGTCACATCAATTAAATTGTCCATGATTTACAGACTTTCAGTAAAAGCAAAACCTTTTAATGATTACCAAGGCATGCACAGAATATTGTACTGTAGAAACAGTATTTAACAGAAAGTTGAAAATATGCAAGAAAATCATTATGTTTCTTGAATTTTCAATCCCTTATCTAGCTTCTTCAAATTAATGTATAAACTGAATACTGCATTTGTTCGAATAAATGACCCAATTTGAATTATTCCCTGCATATAAATGCCCACGCTAGAGCCACATTTGGAATAAAATGCCTTGTTTGAATGAATGCCCCATGGCATTATTTTTTCCTCGAATTAACACTCTAATGAAGCCACATCATGCTCAACACATCCTATTAACGTTCTACTCCAGTACATTTTTTCTAGTAAACCAGGTTGGAATCAATAAGACTTTGTGCTAACGCAAACACATTCTGTCTATTTGAGTATATATATATATATATTAAACGGCTCCCTCAAATAAAAGCCTCCTCAAAAACCGTCAACAATAAATGGCCCAGGCATTTGAATAAATACGGTAGTCCAATTCCAATGCCTACTGAACAAGATTTTGAGAATATCAACTAATGATATTAATGATAATAATATTTGAGTATTGATTATAGTGAAATCTTTCATTTCTTCTTCTGACCCCTATCATATAATCTGTTTAGGCTTTGTCTCCTCCCTTTATATTATTATTTATTTAGTAAGAGTAAATACCCAAGGAAGATTTCTAAATGTTTTCCTTTTATCAATTGTTGTTTAATGATTTTTATATGTTTATTGAATAAAAGTGATTTCAAATAATTATAAAATATCGGGTAGGTTGGACACAAAGGGACCCTTAGCGGAGAAGAAAGTTACTGTACGAGCTAGTCCACGCCTCTACAAGTATGATGATCCGCACACATCAGAGGCCTGTGCTTATCAAAAATAGAGAATAGGTAGATAATGATAATAAATATAATTAAAAAAATGGTAAGAGATACTTTAATAACCCTGAAGATATTTTGGGCAGAGACAGATATCTGTCTCATTCCAGTCACGTATCAGTGTGCATACATGTTTTTCCATGCCTAAGTAAATTACTCACATTAATAAAATATGAACACTGCTAGTACTATATCCTGTCGCCATTAGCGGTAGCTCTATAATTTTTGTTCTCATAATTCTATGTGCAGAATATTCCAAATGGTGAATTCGATGCACTTTATATGAGGCACCAAGATGTATTATCACAACCAATCACAGAATAGAAACCCCAAATATTTACATTTCCAAAGAAAAGGTAAACATCCTGTGGTTTTCCATCCTGTGATTGTTTGTTTAAATTTTTATTTCATTTATTTCGTCTTCGACACAAACATAGCAAAACAAAGAACCGACACTTGATGTAGATGGGGTTGTCAAAAAGTGAACTGAATCAACTATCTAGTGACTCTCCAACAATTTTTGATAAATGATTAATGTGGGCACAAAAAATTAATTAATGTAAAAACATCAGAGTGCTGAAATTTATAAAGGGAGGTTCAAAACCAATCATTGAATGAAGAGGCTCAGGATAATTATATTTTCAACACAATATAAAAACTGCAGGAAAAAAAAATACATTTTCCAAGCCAATAACATTCAGTTATAAAATATCCAGAATGCATAACGTTTAGTTCAAATCACTAAGGACGAAATAAAATCTACTCCCACAGCTACAGTAGCAACAATCTACAAATTTCAAGATTTCCAATTAAAATACTGAAAAAATTCTCTTAAACATAATCTTTCCTAAAGTAAATTTTTTTTAATAATATTTTTCTTGTACATCTAGATTTTTAATGAATTTATATTTACTTTATATATATTTTATAAAATTGTGTTTTTTACATCTTTCCTTTATGTAGATTTTACTTCTACTGCTTTCTTTTTTGTTTCAACCATCTGGCTTTGTTCTTTTCTGTTATCCTAGAAGGTGCATAGAGACAAATGTTATATGTGGTGCGAGGGCATGGGCTGGCGGATGCAGACCCATTTCCTCATGATAGCAAATTAGTTCCGCTGAGTTAAAATACTCAAAATGACCATTAACTTTTCATTGGAATGAATATTTAGTTACACATTTCTCAATTTTCGCACCCCACAGTTCCCCATTCTCAATTTTTTCGCACCCCTCTTCTCCCCTGACCACCACCAACACCATTCCCCCCCCCCCCTACACCTCTAGATGTGTATAAGAGACAGCTAATGTACTGTAAAAGTGGACAACCACTGACCATTGATCAAGCTATGGTCCATAATAAAAAAAACTCATGATGCTGAATTTTAAACACTGCATGGTGAAATGCAAGCTTGGCAACTTTAATACAAATGCCACATACAGAAATTATCACATTGAAGTACAAGGTAAATACCAGTATTCAATCAGTGTACTTGAACCCAAAAAAAAAAAAAATTGGCTCAAGTTGAAGGAAGTGTCAATTTTCCGGTTACCTTTATTACCGAAACCTTGGAAACGGCTACCCGTGATTCACGAGTCACCACTTCCCAAACAAACAAGTTCATCATAGTCTGTAACCAGTGGCATATGAATAACAAACTTGATTTTTGCTTTGCTTTGGTTTATTATATTATACGTTTTGACAGAATAGATACTATGGTAGTGGTTACATAGTCACTTGGGAGACTGAAGTTTGTTACCATTTATAAATAGCCTTCTTTATTGCAATTCATTGTGAGTGAGTGGATTGGGGAAACCCCTAAATTGGGCATTAGCTCATCCTGCCATAAGTTAAATAAATGTTTGTACTGTGTGTAGTGTAAGCAGACAAAAAGGTCTTAATTGCTCATAAAGGCAATAAAACTCAAATTTAAATTGAATTTAACTTTACCACAACCACTTTTTATTCAGTAATAATATTTTACATACTATGTTGTGAAAAAAAATAATCTACAATGTATGAAATTTATAATTATTGGTGGAAGTTTAGGAATCAATTCAGTTTTCTCACTAAAGAGACTTAAACACAAAACATTGATTTACATATAAATGTGCCAAATAAAAAATCCACATTTTCTACGACTAAAAAAACTTCCTCACTCTCTAAAAGCAGTGTTGAGAGTTTAAGATAAGAAATTACTCTATTTTAGAAAGCCCCTTAATATCAACTTCTACTGTAACACTAGATTGAGAAAAAAAATCACAGATGTGATGGTGCATTAATACAACAAACTATATTTAATAGTCTGTTCAAGTGGAGAAGTTAAAAGAGAAACCCGAATTAAAATAAATATGATAAAAGTTCCTATAAATACAAAACAATGCATCAATTGTGAAATAATCACAAGCAACAAATGCCACTTATTATCATTGAGTCATATGATGATGAGTCTGTTTCTAAATGGAATTTTCCACAGTTTAAAATATCCATAAGCAAAACAGTAGTTTTCATTAAGATCTGAGTCATAGTATGTTTTTTTTATCTTACCTCCGCCTGGCCGATGGTACAGGTAACCGGCTTTGCCAGTCTTCAAACTGTCTCCCCCTGAATCTTCTAACATCTTGGGGAGATGAGTATACCTAGTCATATTATAAAAACAAATTACATTACATTACGGTATTTTATATATTTTTTATATCTTTTATATACTTCCTTTTTTTATACTGAAAAGTACCTTCAGTCAAAAAAGTTCAGTTAAAAAAAAAAGCATAAAAAATTAAATGAAAGTATATTATTACTTATCTTATAACTTATTTTATAACTGTATTAAAGTATTTTAGTTTTTATATGTTCACAAATTTAAAATTTACTTTGTTGTTACCAGATAGATTCTTTAAAGTGTCCCAATTACATTTGATGAGGGTCCATTCAAAATATATGTTTAAATGGATGCTGCTGGGGTTCCAAGTACAGGTAGAAAGCACTTCTATGAGTTTTATTTTAATGACCATCGGGTTAGTTTTCAGAAGAAATTTGCTTGCTCTAAGACGAGACCATGCTGATTTCTGGGAAGTTCCCATTCTTTGGATCCTATGTTTTTGCCTTATGGAATCATCCAGAAACCTAAATTATCAATTATCTATTCATAACAAGCTTTAATCTTTAGTCTCGGTTAGGCAAGTACTTTTAGCATAGGAAACTTAATTGATACAGTTAAAGATGACATCACATACAGACTACCCATTTTTAGCATGGTCACTAACCTTTTGGACACTGTTGATAACCAAGAGGAAATTGATAATTCTTGATGAAAAAGGTCATACATGAGATTACTGGGAAACTCAATGTTATGATCATAGATAATTACATGTTTACAAATAATTTATTAATTTTGAGCTTCTAATACTACTATTTAATAATGTGATTTACTATCAACTGATCGGTTTTAAGATATTTAACTTCTTTTTAAGAGAAATATAATCTATAACAGGCCTACCGAGATAAACATATCAAATCATAAAAAATAAGGAAATGCTAAGCATTATCATAAATTATATAAATAAAAAACTCACATGAAAAAAATTATAAAAATAAAAAAATACTTACATGGATAAAAACAATTTAAATACCAAATATAAAATGACTTACAGGCCATAATATCAAAATGATTGAAATTCAAACTATACATACATTTCTTTCTTTTTTTTCTAATGTTTTTCTAAATGTACACACATCATCATGAACCTACAGATTATAATTTCAAATAACATAGGATGGTTAGGGGGAGTGGGTGGATGCACCCACCCCAATGTGGCAGCAAGCAAGTTTAACTAAAAGTGGATTAAAATAATAAAAATGACTATAAGTTTTCATTGGAATAGGAAGTTAGTTAAACATTCACAGTCTCTCCCCCCCCCACCCCCTGCTGAAACCAGCCTATGACTAAATTTTTTAAAATATTCTGTTTAACAAAACATAAAAAGAGATTCTATTATGGCACAAACATCACGTCACAGGGGTCCCAAGTGTACAAGAAGTCACTGCAAGCGATAATCTCCTGGGATAACCCATCTTTCGTCCGCCACTTACCCCCACACCCCAGCCTACACCCATGCATGCACAGCAAAATCTAATTTGGTGGTTAAGAAACCTTGTTTAACAGATCTCCAAGATTTGGATTCATCCAACTTGGACTCTTAATGTCATACAGCCTCAATTGTCTGTAGGCCTGGTAAACAAACCCAAATTGCAACTAGATTGACGAGTTAGGTGATTTGCTTGTCAGGCAAAAGAAAGGCCATGGCGATTTAAAAGTATGAATTATGAAAAAATACCGTAGCCAGGTTTTTCAGACTAGCCAGGACAAAAAGTGTCGTCAAAGATTTAACAAAAACGTGTAGGAGTGGTCAGAAAAAGCTTCATTTTGACTATGATGACATCATCAGTCAAAAATGAAGGAAACATTGTGAAAGGAAATTGCCTTAACTATAACATACTCAAAGATGGAAGACGATCGATCATGAATAAGTGAGATACGTTCGAATAAATATTAAAATAATGACGTCATATATAAGAATTAGGTTTTGTTGAATGCAGATGGAAATATGATGACGTCACAATGTCCTATCAGGCTCATGGGCTTAAGTTTAAGAATAAGTAATAAAAATTGGGGTCACCTTTTATCCTATAACTGTTTGAATATAGGCATGATTTTGGCAAATTTTCAGTGTATGTCGACAAAAACGCGTGCAAGGATTTGTATGTTTCATGTGCACGTACGGCATTGCTATTGGCCCTAAGATGACTGAAAAAGAATGGAAATATGTGAATACAGTGTCAGGAACCCAAAACATGTAAAAAAATGAAATTTCCAGCTTTTGTTGTATGTGCTGCATGGCGCCAAAAATTAGAAAAATATTGAAATGATCAGAATGGCCTGAAATGTGCTCTAATTTAGTCAAAAAGTGATTTCGAGCATTTTAAAATTTTGACGCACACGTACACGCGTTATGATGCGCGCACGTAAAATTCAGGTACATGACATTCAACTTTGACCTGAAGTTTATAATATGCTCACTAAATATGATTTCGAAATGGCAATTGGTTAGGATAATATAATCGATGTAAAAACGCAAAATTGCGCGTAGATGACGTCACGCATGACTGGTCACATTGAAAAGCTTATTGTGACTTACAGGCCAAGCCAAATGTTCCTTGAAGCTGCCATGTGCGCAGCTTACAGCAATTTTGAGATATTGTGCGAACAAGAAATGGGGAGAAATGTAGAATAACAAAAAAGATCTCTGACAATAACAAGAGGTGATCCACTCAGTGAAGCGGATCACCAATAATAATTAGGCCTAGGATTGGCTGGCTACTGTAATACTACCACAAGGACTGTTGGCAATGGTATAGCATAGCACTGCAGTAGACAAAACAAAGTTCACAGATTAATAGAATTTTTAAAGTTCTATTAATCTGTGAACTTTGTTCTAATAGAATGAGAACAAGCGCCACACAAGCCACCAGGAATATTTTCGTATCAACAAAGAATATTGAATTGGTAGTCTGTTGGTTCCCTAAATAAAACAAAGTAGGAAGTAACTTTGACTACCCTAAATTAAAAAAAGCCACAGAAACTGTAACTGCGGTAAAATTAAATCCGTTTGTTACCTTACCTCAGCTGAATTCCGTTAGGCACCACTAGCTCGCACAGCTCAGCCGTGCAAATCTCCACTGCACCCCGGAGTTCTTGTTTGGCTTCCTCCTAAATCAGTGTTCATCGATGGAACTCTCTTGTGGCTTCCCTATCGATTGACATTGGCCAGAAGAAAATTGCTACACAAAAATAAAGTATAATACCGGGAACTAAGCTGACCTTGCTTAACTTGACTAGGTATTTACCTCCTTTTCTGTTGATCAACACTTTCAACACCGACTGACTTGCGGCATTCACTTCCAGAAAACTAAATGCAGCAGCAGTCCAAAACATTGCTTTATATTTGAAATAGAGGGCGCAGTAACGAATTTTTAAAATATCATGTTTGGCAATTTCATCAAACTATTTTTTAACGATACTGAATGTTGCCAAGAGACGGTTACTTATTACCGTATAAAATTCAACCGGGAGGTCATTATAATTATCCTGATTATACCATTATCATCATCATCGTCATTATCATCATCTTTATTGATAATCAACATCAACACAATCAAACATCATCATAAATACCATTATCCCCATCCCCATTATCTTTAGGGGGATATTATTACCAATACTGTAGTACCTTATTTATTAATAATTGTATTAAGGTCTAATAATATTGGACTGTCATGGTGCCTTGCTCTGCTTCTCAATGTGTGCTAGATACACATACCTTGGAGATTGCACAATATCGAACAGATACAGATCCCCTTAAACATTATTAATCATTCTACTCATCAGCACCATAATCATCGTCATCACCACCTCCATATATTATCATCATACAATAATTAATATCATCAGCATCATTATCAACATTATCAATGCCCCAACACCTCCAGCATTAGTATCATCATTGCCATCATCACCATAAATAACCCTCTAACAATAATCATAACCCCACACTAACACAGAATCCTACAGGGATCTAAACACTTTTGGACTCCCTTAGTTCTTTTAGTTTGTACCTCGGCCCCACCGTGGTTGGGGGTTGACACTGAGCAAATTTTATAAATAGGCACCTAAAGATGCCTAGAATTAGCACCCTCTCTCTCTTGAAGCATTTCTATTGCAGTGGTTCTCACTGTAATAATTTGCTTTTTCCTTAAATGGGAGTCCAGGATTTTCTGAACAGGGGTCCTATCCTTGGACCAGTAATGGTGTTGCCAATGACAAGTATCCAAACAGAAGAATACAATGACAAGAATATTCTGAGCTACTGAGCTTTGTGTATAATGTATTGAGTTCGTTTTAAGTAACCATTCAAACATTTATGTTTATTCATCTAATTTACATATCCACAACATAAACATAACATATTCATTATGTAGGCCTGCTAGTATTGCACCGATTGTCAACAAGATAAACTTGCAGTAAATGACATAAATCAGGAAAGATGAATAAATGAAGAAATATGTAAAAATATAATTATTTACCTACGGATTACAAGTTAATTAAGAAGTGATAAAAGGATGTAGAAAGAGAAAGGATAAATAACGAACTTTATTTTGTAATATTAAAATTTTATGATAATATCATTACATTTAATATAACATTATATTTAAACCAATGAAATATGTTTATATTTTATAACTCAAGTTATTTTAATCTTGTAAAGCACTTATATACTTATGCATTATGTACTATACACATAGAAATAAAAAAATATTGTAATTATTTGGCTTGGTTATGCATCAATATTATTACTTTACAATGTTTTAATTTGCATACTAATAAAATCAATCTTATCAAACATTCATATGCTTTATTAGGGTCTTCAGATTGTAAAAACATTTAATTAACATTAAGAAAGTGCCACTGGGCATAAAAGTGATGACTTTCTTATTTGTGTTCAATTTTTTAAAGCAAAACCTCATATTTTCGATTTAGTTTTATTTATACACGAATTAAGCTTGAGTAATTATTGGGATCTTTCATTCAGCCTATATCATTATCGTGCCTTGCATTAAACCAACCTTAAATATTTCCTTGTAAAACTTTACTTTATGTATGTTATTTATTTTCATTTAATTTATATGTACATTTAAACTTGCCTAACTCAACTTGGCCTAACTTGATTAATTTTTAAGTGCCAAATTGTTGTTTTCCATTGAGTAACGATTTGTAAGTCAAATTTTATCTAAGTCGAACAATTTTTCAATACCATTTGGATTTGACTTAGGCAAGTTCAACTGTATTTGCATTTGTATTTCTATTTGTAACAAAAATAAAATACTAACAGTCAGTAATCACTTTTAGGTAACAACACTACTGAAGAGCTGTGAATGTTTACTTCTTCCACAGTCAATACAGGATGAATTAGACACCAGATTGTGTAAACTAGAGAGCTATTAATAAAATTCACAAATGAGTTCGGAAAACTAGCACCTGTGAGATGACAGTACTGCTGTAGTACCCCTGGGAGGGGATGTGCACGCCCCCAAAAAATTACTTGCGTTCCCACCCACCCCCCTCCCCCAGAAATCATGGTCAAGTAGTTAAAAATCACCTTAGTTTGCGAATTAGCACAAAATTCTCGAAGCAAAAAAATTATGTTCAAGTAGTCTAAAAATCACCTTATTTAGTGATCTAGCACCCCTCACTCCCCCGACCCATCAGTACCCCTATTTCAAGACTTCTATATATGCCACTGTTGCACATTCTGGGTGGCAGTAAGTAAGTGAACTAACTACTCAGAACTATTATTGTAATATAAAAGTACAAGAACTATTTGTTCACTTTCATTAGCTTTTGAAGATACGTATGTACAATTTTTCACCAGAAACAACACAATTATACCAACCACATACATCTGATGAAATGATGTATATATCTCCAATATTAATGAAAACAAAAGCAAAAATTATTGTGTCTCCACATTACTTGTTAGTTATTCAGAATATCTTTTATATCAGAAACGTAATAACTTTTTGTCTGAAAACAATGCATACATTTAATTGGAATGCTGCAATCAAACTGTTAAAGTTTACTATCATGCGTATCATCATTAAGAATCTTCTCACTCTCTCCTGCAGAGGATTCGTCCATGCCATCATTATCATCTCCACCATCATCTCCATCCTCTTCATCATCATCTTCTTCATCTTGATCTGTAGCAGTGACCATCTCGTTGGGTTGTTCAATGATTTCTGGACCACCACCGTAGATTGAGTGCAGATAGTTCCATGTCTCTTTCGAAATTTGACCACTTTCAGCTCCTAATGTGAAAAAAAAACAACTTTGAAATGAACACTGCTTCTCCAATAAGCTTTGCACTAAAGCCTTGTGTACATACATAATTTGAATTATGTTTATCTTTATATACCTTTTAAAACATTAACATCCTGACCACGATTCAGGAAGTTGACTAATTTGCATAAGATCCACCTGTTGAATTCACTGCATGTGTGGTTATAACATTCATTTACGTTTGCTGTACTGTATCATTATATATGGGAGAATTCTTACCTTTAGTATGATGGCCTTTGGAGGCTGCTATTGCACGATTATCAATTGGACCTGGTGGCTCAGGAAAATCTGCATGTAATAAATAGTACACATTTACACATAACTAACAGATATATTTTCAATGTATATTTTCACAAATTATACACACAATAGCAAAGTGATTTTCTAATCTAATCTCTAAAATCAGGGAAGCTTTCAAGATAAATGTCGATCAATATAAATAAAACCAATACTTTCTTTGTGTATACCCTCCAATTCAATTGAATTTAATTGGCAGATAATATCAATTTAATAATATCTCTTCAGTAAAATGTCTGTACATAAGTAATTAAATTCAATTGGCAGATAATATTAATTTAAAATATCTTTTCAGTAAAATGTCTGTACATAGGTAAAAAACCTATTTATTTTGAATGTGTTATTAACTTATCTATATTTATAAATGAGGTATTTAATGTTTTAATTGAATTTTTGAGGGTTTTATTTCTATATCTTATGACAGATGATATTTTTCAAAATACTGACCTGTGTGTTTTGAATTTAAGAATGTTTCCCATTGACGGAACCAACTGAGACTGATGAAGTATACTGTAGTGTTTTGGTCTTCCTCGTCTTGAAACTTATTATGTAGCTGAAAAAAAAATAATATACACATCATGACACTAAAGATACACCAAAGCCACAGAAACAACATCATCAGAAGTGTAGCAGCATCTCAGTGTCTGTCAAAGCAACAGGGAATGGTCTCAACAGACATTCTGGAGTGTCAATCAAAATGAACAAATGCTCACTCAGAACAATGCAGTTGTACCACAAAAACACACAAATTGTCCCACAAATTCACATTCTTTTGTATACTTAAATAGTTATTTCATGGAAACTTTAGAACAATATCCAAGGAATGTGGCTTAGTGAACATTTTATGGTCCCATTAGACAATTTCTAATTCATCACACTTTGTCGCATGGATAAGAGCATTAATTGCTCGACTTATCATCATATTTGTCTGGAACAAGCAACTATTAGATAATATCTGATGGAACATGGTTAAGGCCCTTTCACATCTGTTCAGGTTTCTGTTCATGTCCCAGTTCAGGCAAAACAAAACAGATATCTATTTTATTCATGCTAAAGACATGTTCTGTTCACATTTACTCCGTTCTGGTATACGGCAACCAGCTATAGTTTCCGGCTACCGCATCAAATCTGTCTACGACTGATTTTTTTCTCTCTTGATTGAATATCGGACGATTTCTGACCAATCAAAAGCCACAGTTTCGAAGTGAGGAGAGAGAGTGTGTGTGGTATCAGCGGAGGCAAGATCAGGCCTAAGCCTAGGTGATGATGTTTAAATATAGAAGAATTGCTAATGCAAATCCAGTTACATACAATATTATATGATAAAAGTTCTAAAGATTACAGAGATGAAAAACAGAGGAGCATCATATTTTCCGAAATTGGGGCGAGGTTTAGCCTCACAGGTACGCGACTGAGTAGCCCCATAGAGCCGAGGGACTTCGTAAATGTTTATGCCTCAGCCTAATTGACTCTTCTCCCTTACCTAGGCTAGGCTTATCTTCTACAAAAACCTGAGTAGATTTGAACAGTTATCAGAAAAATGAAACATGAATTGAAAACTTGAACTGTAATCTGAACTGGAACCTGAACAGATGTGAAAGGGCCTTTAGTCTGAAGTCTGATATAGGATTTCCAGTTTACAGGGCTTGCTTTCCATTAAAATCACAGTAAATTGTGATCCTACCTTGACGAATGTCTCCCTCTCTTCTGCGATTCTACGTTTCAGATTATCAAGTTCCTCCTGGCAAGTCTTACAATTACGAAGATGAGTCACGGCTGGTCCACCTCCATACCTGATCGCATGACAAGAACACAACCATTCATATTAGCAAAACTATTAGAATGATCTTAAGAATGTCTAGTACAATGATATTATTTTCCATGGGTAATTTGTTTTAGTTTACACTATAATTTTGATAGAATGTTGGAGAGTGATAGATTTGTTTGTTGAGCTTTTTTTGTCTTTGGCATTCAAAACCATAAAATTACGTTCTATCAATTTTTAGTAACTTTATTCGAGTATTGTCTCAGATAATAACTTATTATATTCTTCTAAACATGTATACCAAAATCAAACCTTAAGTTAAATTTGGCGAATACTAGTTCAGAGCTGTGTCTACAATTAAAATCATTTTAATTATTATACTAAGCAAATGCTTAGCCTATGATGTTGGTGTAGTACTCACCTATTTTGAAGACAATCCCAAACAGTTTGTGGAACCTTAGTAACAAGCTCATCAACAAAAGCAGATTTGCAGGGAGGAACACCTTGAAGACAAAAACTCTTATTTTTTTTTTTTTTAATTCAATTTGAACCACATCTATAAACACTGACACTTTCTACATTTGCAATAATAAACCACTGCTTAAATTTCTGTAAATGTATTTTAAGTTTTTATAATCAGATTACTGTATTGTGGGAGTGGGTTCATTTTCTCAACCTTCAGATCAGGGGTTCAAACTTTTGCTTGTGTTTATGGGCAAGGTAATTTACTAAAGGTTGTCCACCTCCACTAATTAATTGGGTACCTGGTAGGTTCAAACTCCAAAGAGCTAATTACTATAGCAGACTTATTTTGGAATTCTCCACTGGGAAGCTGAGTATGTATGTGAGAAATTCATGTGCTTAAAGTCTTGTTGACATGATGTGTTATGTAAAAAGTGGATAGTTAAGTGCATTTAAAAGTCACTTTGCCAATATATTAAATGATTTTAAATGGTTAGCATTACTGCTGTAAAAAAATGAATAAAGTAAATTGTAAATCGATAAAAAAAAAAAACTGTGAATACAACAGTGGGCTTGCAGTGGTGTATCTAAGTGTGCAGGGAGCACACCCCACCACCTCCAAAAAAAAAAAAAGAAAAAAGAAGATCATTCTTAAGTATTTAAGAATCACCTAATATCAACCAACTCCCCCTCACTTAATCATTGATTAAGTAAGGGGGAGTCACTTAATCATTTCACCTCTGCATCCCCCATCAATCCCCCCATTTCCTAGATACACCAATGTGGGCTTAGTTTTATTTCACTACCTCCATGCTTGCATAAGAAGTCATTATTGGTAATTGGTCCTGGCTCAGCAAATGTCTGGAACTTGTTAAACCATTGACTTGAGATGTAGAAATGCAACAGACTCTGAAAATACATGAACAGAAAAGTTTCAATAAAATAATATGTTTATTTCCTTTAACAATAGGTAGTGACTATTGTTTCAACAGTCTTAAACAAATACTTAAAGCCCCATTCCCGGCAAAATTTCAATTTTTAAGAAAAATCTAATTTTTGTATAATG